CCCTAAACCCTACGTACCGTCTCTAGAACTCCTACATACCTCCCTTCAAAGATACCCAAAACCCTAAACCCTATATAGCTCCTACATACCCCCCCCCCCCCTTAAAAGGAACCCTAAACCCCATATAACTCCTACATACACACACCCCCTTAAACGGTACCCCTTATTGTTAGCTGAAAAGGAAGGGGGGTTTCGGGTTCAGCTTTGGACCCAGGATCTGACGATCCGTGAGTTTGTCCAATTCCTGCAGTATGCCTTCGGTGAAGACCTCAAGGCCAGGTTTAGGGTTTAGGTTTTGGNNGTGTGTATATATATATATAGAGTATGTATAAAATATACATATATACGATATTATATGTACTATATATTGTATGTGTATATGTATATATATATGTGTGTACATATATATATGTGTATATATGTATATACGTGTATGTACTACACATACATATATATATATACATACATATTTCGTTCACGTAAGTTTGAATATTTAGACATGTACATATATACACATGTGTATATATATATATATATCTGAGTAGGCCCCTGGTTATGGGGCTGATCGAATATACATACGCCGTGAAAGTACGAATATATGATTACAAAAGTAAGTTCATTGACGGCATCGAGAGAAACCTATTGGAGAAACTACCCCGAAGGTGGAAACCTCAATGGCGACACACCTCTCTCTCTCTCTCTCTCTCTCTCTCTCTCTCTCCTGAACGCTCAAATCCCCTCTTCAAAACAAACACTGCACCTGAATTCTTAGCTGGGTTGTTGTTTCGTTTGGATTTGCTTCTTCAAATATGCGTGTTGCAACCCATCTAAGCACATGCAAAACTACAGCCATATCCAAAATCCTTGAACCCACCTCTATTATCCCAGTGAGGAGCCAGGCTTAGTCTGCGGCTATCCAGAATTAGCATGTAGATTTTCGGGTTGAGGAAGTAGTACCTTAGGTTTGGGAAGTAGGGTTAGGGGGGTTTGGAAGTGGGGTCTAGGTTTTAGGAAGTAGGGTTCAGGGTGTTTGGAAGTAGGGTATGGGTTTTAGGAAGTAGGGTTAAGTTTCTGAGGAAGAAGGATTCGCATTTGGGAGGTAGGGCTCGCAGGGCATTGAGATGGGGAAGTCGGGTTCAAGGCTTATATAGTCTATCTAGGGCTTAGGAATTACAAAGGATTCAGGGTTGAGGGCTTAGGCTTAGTTAGGATTTACGGTTTAGGGGCCTATTTAGGGCTAAGGAGCTGCAAGGAAGCGCCCCCTAGTGATCGGCTTGTCGAATCAGAGTTCAGGTTGGAGTTTCGGAGCGCGAGAGGGTCTTTTGTCGTAATATCTCGTGATCCAAACCTATCTAGAGTCGATGAGGAAGAAGACCCCAAAGGGTCCAGATATGCATAAAGTATACACTTAGGGCCCAACGGATGTCCTGTATAACCACTATACGGATTAAGTATTTACTATCTATTCAGCTACATGAACCCTAAACCCTAAACCCTATAGGTTTAGGGTTTAGGGTTTAGGGTATACCCTTTAGGGACTACAGTCCCCTGTATAGGCATGGGCCTGAGTGCAAGTGTGCGGAGCCCACGTCCTTATTCTCTGCGTTATCAGGCCCCTAGGTCCCTAAACAGTGTTTAGGGTTTAGGGTTTAGGGTGACAATACATTCCCTGCGCACCCCCAAGGGGAAGATGCTCATGCTTCGGACCGCCCCACGGAGGTTTCGGGCTTCCACGAACTGTCAGACGCCTTCAACCCAGCACTGCCAACACTTCATACCCTCAACCCTGTTTGTGCGGGAGTTTCTAGAAATAACTCTCCAAAAGTCCTGAAACAGAACCCTCCACTATCTCTTGGGTTATGCTCCCCGTGTATCTTTAGGGTCCTGCAGAGGACCCCTTTTGCGGAGGGATACCTTAACGTATTCGAAGACATGTGTATTGAAGGGCGTGCCGCCAAAGCAACAGCTATTCCAGCAACATCCCCATAGTGATGTCACACGTTCAACCCCTAGGGTCTAAGGTTAGATATATCGGCCCCTAAGTAGGGTACGTAGTAAGTAAGTAAGGATCCCAGGGTTAATGACCTGTACCAGGTGCCAATGGTTTCAACCTTAGAAGGGATCCAAGTCTATAAAAAATGCCCGCTTGAGGTCCTGCAGTCCTTTAGACAGTACCTGCTTTGCGCTACTTGCATCCAAGGGAAACTTGAAAAGCATCAAACCCAAAACACAAAAAATGACGCACACTCCTATGGTTGATTCTGAAAAATCCTGCATGATCCGAAGTAGCCGAACCCTGGGGATCATGGGATTACGTATTGTATATCAAAGTCATACAGGGTTGATAACATCAACAGTATGTGCACCCCACCGAGCCCCATGGCTGGGTTTGAGGGTTTCAGGCTGTTGGGTTCAGGATTTTGGGTTTTGGATTTTTAGGATGTAGGGTTGAGGGTTTTAGGGGATTAGGGCTTGTTCTGTTTAACATGCTTTAGGGTTTATGGTTTTAGGGTAAGGGTTAATAGTGTTAAGCGTGGATATTCTTGCGAAGCACCCCGAAACAGTCCGCCATGATCCTTTGAAGACCCTAAACCCTGCGCTCTGAGTCCTAATTGCAGGACGCGTGGCAAGCCTTGGACTTCAATGGAGATGGCGATCTCACAGAAGCAGAGTTTGACAAGGTGCCTTCGTCTAGGGTTTGCTGGTAGAGTACCCTAAACGCAGAGCCCTAAAGCGTTTAGCATTGAGCGTGAAGGCATAGGGTGGGGGGACGACAGGAAGAAAGAACATAGGTTTCACCTCCCAAACTCCATCATTTGTCCATTATCATACTCTTGCACCCTTAAAATATTGCGCAGATAGGCTAAATTTTGGGTGTTGGGCAAGTCTAGAGTGGGTTTTAGGATTACGGATCAAAACCCTAGGCCGTGCGCAGCAGAGCGGAACTCTAAACCCAAGACCCTGAACCCATAAACCCTAAACCCATAAACCCCAGCTCTGAAAGCCAAGACCCTTCCCAGGCTCTCAAGAGCAAGGGCTACTTTGGGCCGGTGCGGGTCGTCTTCGCGTCTTTGGACTGCAGTTTTGGCATGTTGGAGTTTAGCTCCTAGGGTTAGGGTTTAGGGCTTTAAGGCTTAGCCTGCACTCCTCAAGATAAAGCCACACCAGGGGCTTCAGCGGGTTGCATGGAACTCCAGGGAGTGAAATCAGGTATACCTTGGGTACTGCCCCCACGCAGTAGCAGTTGGATGATAATTAGTTACAATATGGTTATATTTAACCCTTAATAGGACCCCTAATATAGCCCTGAACCCTAAATCCCCAACCCGAAACCCGAAACTCCTAAACCCTAAGCCCTTAATAGGACCCCTANNNATAGACTGTTACTGGGGGGGGCAGCGCCCAAGGTATACACTGCGGTGCTACAACAATTCGACTGGCAGAAACGCATGCAGAAGACCGTGTGAGCTGTAAGATGGCCCCCTCCACCCCTGAAGCGGAGGAGGTTTAGGGTTTAGGGTTT